ACATGGCAGCAGAGTGTGGCGATGGAGACAGCAGCAATGGGAGGCCGTACAGGGACCCATGAGAGACTCTGGACTTGGCAGCAGCAGAGGAGGCGGGTATATAGGGGCCCATGGCAGATTAGGGGCCTGGCAGCAGCTATGTGAGGCCCGTAATCTGCCTGCACCCTATGTCAAAAAATTTAAACACACCAGCAGTGTGAAGAGACCTGAAAGTGGCACATGGCAGCAGAGTGTGGGCGTGGAGACAGCAGCAATGGGAGGCCGTACAGGGACCCATGACAGACTCTGGGACTTGGCAGCAGCATGAGGAGGCGGTATATAGGGGCCCATGGCAGATTAGGGGCCTGGCAGCAGCTATGTGAGGCCCGTAATCTGCCTGCACCCTATGTCAAAAAATTTAACACACACAGCAGTGTGAAGAGACCTGAAAGTGGCACATGGCAGCAGAGTGTGGCGATGGAGACAGCAGCAATGGGAGGCCGTACAGGGACCCATGAGAGACTCTGGACTTGGCAGCAGCATGAGGAGGCGGGGTATATAGGGGCCCATGGCAGATTAGGGGCCTGGCAGCAGCTATGTGAGGCCCGTAATCTGCCTGCACCCTATGTCAAAAAATTTAACACACACAGCAGTGTGAAGAGACCTGAAAGTGGCACATGGCAGCAGAGTGTGGGCGATGGAGACAGCAGCAATGGGAGGCCGTACAGGGACCCATGTGACAGACTCTGGACTTGGCTTGGCAGCGCATGAGGAGGCGGTGGAGGGGGCCCATATAGGGGCCCATGGCAGATTAGGGGCCTGGCAGCAGCTATGTGAGGCCCGTAATCTGCCTGCACCCTATGTCAAAAAATTTAACACACCAGCAGTGTGAAGAGACCTGAAAGTGGCACATGGCAGCAGAGTGTGGCGATGGAGACAGCAGCAATGGGGAGGCCGTACAGGGACCCATGAGAGACTCTGGACTTGGCAGCAGCATGAGGAGGCGGTATATATAGGGGCCCATGGCAGATTAGGGGCCTGGCAGCAGCAGCTATGTGAGGCCCGTAATCTGCCTGCACCCTATGTCAAAAAATTTAACACACCAGCAGTGTGAAGAGACCTGAAAGTGGCACATGGCAGCAGAGTGTGGCGATGGAGACAGCAGCAATGGGAGGCCGTACAGGGACCCATGACAGACTCTGGACTTGGCAGCAGCATGAGGAGGCGGTATATATAGGGGCCCATGGCAGATTAGGGGCCTGGCCAGCTATGTGAGGCCCGTAATCTGCCTGCACCCTATGTCAAAAAATTTAACACACCAGCAGTGTGAAGAGACCTGAAAGTGGCACATGGCAGCAGAGTGTGGCGATGGAGACAGCAGCAGCAATGGGAGAGGCCGTACAGGGACCCATGAGAGACTCTGGACTTGGCAGCAGCATGAGGAGGCGGGGAGGTATATAGGGGCCCATGGCAGATTAGGGGCCTGGCAGCAGCTATGTGAGGCCCGTAATCTGCCTGCACCCTATGTCAAAAAATTTAACACACCAGCAGTGTGAAGAGACCTGAAAGTGGCACATGGCAGCAGAGTGTGGCGATGGAGACAGCAGCAATGGGAGGCCGTACAGGGACCCATGACAGACTCTGGACTTGGCAGCAGCATGAGGAGGCGGGGGGGTATAGGGGCCCATGGCAGATTAGGGGCCTGGCAGCAGCTATGTGAGGCCCGTAATCTGCCTGCACCCTATGTCAAAAAATTTAACACACCAGCAGTGTGAAGAGACCTGAAAGTGGCACATGGCAGCAGAGTGTGGCGATGGAGACAGCAGCAATGGGAGGGCCGTACAGGGACCCATGAGAGACTCTGGACTTGGCAGCAGCATGAGGAGGCGGTATATAGGGGCCCATGGCAGATTAGGGGCCTGGCAGCAGCTATGTGAGGCCCGTAATCTGCCTGCACCCTATGTCAAAAAATTTAACACACCAGCAGTGTGAAGAGACCTGAAAGTGGCACATGGCAGCAGAGTGTGGCGATGGAGACAGCAGCAATGGGAGGCCGTACAGGGACCCATGACAGACTCTGGACTTGGCAGCAGCATGAGGAGGCGGTATATAGGGGCCCATGGCAGATTAGGGGCCTGGCAGCAGCTATGTGAGGCCCGTAATCTGCCTGCACCCTATGTCAAAAAATTTAACACACCAGCAGTGTGAAGAGACCTGAAAGTGGCACATGGCAGCAGAGTGTGGCGATGGAGACAGCAGCAATGGGAGGCCGTACAGGGACCCATGAGACTCTGGACTTGGCAGCAGCATGAGGAGGCGGTATATATAGGGGGGCCATGGCAGATTAGGGGCCTGGCAGCAGCTATGTGAGGCCCGTAATCTGCCTGCACCCTATGTCAAAAAATTTAACACACCAGCAGTGTGAAGAGACCTGAAAGTGGCACATGGCAGCAGAGTGTGGCGATGGAGACAGGACAGCAGCAATGGGAGGGCCGTACAGGGGGACCCATGACAGACTCTGGACTTGGCAGCAGCAGAGGAGGCGGTATATAGGGGCCCATGGCAGATTAGGGGCCTGGCAGCAGCAGCTATGTGAGGCCCGTAATCTGCCTGCACCCTATGTCAAAAAATTTAACACAACACACCAGCAGTGTGAAGAGACCTGAAAGTGGCACATGGCAGCAGAGTGTGGCGATGGAGACAGCAGCAATGGGAGGCCGTACAGGGACCCCGATGACAGACTCTGGACTTGGGCAGCAGCATGAGGAGGCGGGTATAGGGGGGCCATGGCAGATTAGGGGCCTGGCAGCTATGTGAGGGCCCGTAATCTGCCTGCACCCTATGTCAAAAAATTTAACACACACAGCAGTGTGAAGAGACCTGAAAGTGGCACATGGCAGCAGAGTGTGGCGATGGAGACAGCAGCAATGGGAGGCCGTACAGGGACCCATGACAGACTCTGGACTTGGCAGCAGCAGCAGGAGGCGGCGGTATATAGGGGCCCATGGCAGATTAGGGGCCTGGCAGCAGCTATGTGAGGCCCGTAATCTGCCTGCACCCTATGTCAAAAAATTTAACACACCAGCAGTGTGAAGAGACCTGAAAGTGGCACATGGCAGCAGAGTGTGTGGCGATGGAGACAGCAGCAATGGGAGGCCGTACAGGGACCCATGAGAGACTCTGGACTTGGCAGCAGCATGAGGAGGCGGGGGGGTATATAGGGGCCCATGGCAGATTAGGGGCCTGGCAGCAGCTATGTGAGGCCCGTAATCTGCCTGCACCCTATGTCAAAAAATTTAACACACCAGCAGTGTGAAGAGACCTGAAAGTGGCACATGGCAGCAGAGTGTGGCGATGGAGACAGCAGCAATGGGAGGCCGTACAGGGACCCATGACAGACTCTGGACTTGGCAGCAGCATGAGGAGGCGGTATATAGGGGCCCATGGCAGATTAGGGGCCTGGCAGCAGCTATGTGAGGCCCGTAATCTGCCTGCACCCTATGTCAAAAAATTTAACACACACAGCAGTGTGAAGAGACCTGAAAGTGGCACATGGCAGCAGAGTGTGGCGATGGAGACAGCAGCAATGGGAGGCCGTACAGGGACCCATGAGAGACTCTGGACTTGGCAGCAGCATGAGGAGGAGGTAGGGGTATAGGGGCCCATGGCAGATTAGGGGCCTGGCAGCAGCTATGTGAGGCCCGTAATCTGCCTGCACCCTATGTCAAAAAATTTAACACACAGCAGTGTGAAGAGACCTGAAAGTGGCACATGGCAGCAGAGTGTGGCGATGGAGACAGCAGCAATGGGAGGCCGTACAGGGACCCATGACAGACTCTGGACTTGGCAGCAGCATGAGGAGGCGGTATATAGGGGCCCATGGCAGATTAGGGGCCTGGCAGCAGCTATGTGAGGCCCGTAATCTGCAGCACCCTATGTCAAAAAAAAATTAAACACACCAGCAGTGTGAAGAGACCTGAAAGTGGCACATGGCAGCAGAGTGTGGCGATGGAGACAGCAGCAATGGGAGGCCGTACAGGGACCCATGACAGACTCTGGACTTGGCAGCAGCATGAGGAGGCGGGTATATAGGGGGCCCATGGCAGATTAGGGGCCTGGCAGCAGCTATGTGAGGCCCGTAATCTGCCTGCACCCTATGTCAAAAAATTTAACACACCAGCAGTGTGAAGAGACCTGAAAGTGGCACATGGCAGCAGAGTGTGGCGATGGAGACAGCAGCAATGGGAGGCCGTACAGGGACCCATGACAGACTCTGGACTTGGCAGCAGCATGAGGAGGCGGTATATAGGGGCCCATGGCAGATTAGGGGCCTGGCAGCAGCTATGTGAGGCCCGTAATCTGCCTGCACCCTATGTCAAAAAATTTAACACACCAGCAGTGTGAAGAGACCTGAAAGTGGCACATGGCAGCAGAGTGTGGCGATGGAGACAGCAGCAATGGGAGGCCGTACAGGGACCCATGAGAGACTCTGGACTTGGCAGCAGCATGAGGAGGCGGTATATAGGGGCCCATGGCAGATTAGGGGCCTGGCAGCAGCTATGTGAGGCCCGTAATCTGCCTGCACCCTATGTCAAAAAATTTAACACACCAGCAGTGTGAAGAGACCTGAAAGTGGCACATGGCAGCAGAGTGTGGCGATGGAGACAGCAGCAATGGGAGGCCGTACAGGGACCATGACAGACTCTGGACTTGGCAGCAGCATGAGGAGGGCGGTATATAGGGGCCCATGGCAGATTAGGGGCCTGCAGCAGCTATGTGAGGCCCGTAATCTGCCTGCACCCTATGTCAAAAAATTTAAACACACAGCAGTGTGAAGAGACCTGAAAGTGGCACATGGCAGCAGAGTGTGGCGATGGAGACAGCAGCAATGGGAGGCCGTACAGGGACCCATGACAGACTCTGGACTTGGCAGCAGCAGAGGGCGGCGGTATATAGGGGCCCATGGCAGATTAGGGGCCTGGCAGCAGCTATGTGAGGCCCGTAATCTGCCTGCACCCTATGTCAAAAAATTTAACACACCAGCAGTGTGAAGAGACCTGAAAGTGGCACATGGCAGCAGAGTGTGGCGATGGAGACAGCAGCAATGGGAGGCCGTACAGGGACCCATGAGAGACTCTGGACTTGGCAGCAGCATGAGGAGGCGGGTAGGCGGTATATAGGGGCCCATGGCAGATTAGGGGCCTGGCAGCAGCTATGTGAGGCCCGTAATCTGCCTGCACCCTATGTCAAAAAAAATTTAAACACACAGCAGTGTGAAGAGACCTGAAAGTGGCACATGGCAGCAGAGTGTGGATGGATGGAGACAGCAGCAATGGGAGGCCGTACAGGGACCCATGAGAGACTCTGGACTTGGCAGCAGCAGCAGGAGGAGGAGGGGTATATATAGGGGCCCATGGCAGATTAGGGGCCTGGCAGCAGCTATGTGAGGCCCGTAATCTGCCTGCACCCTATGTCAAAAAATTTAACACACCAGCAGTGTGAAGAGACCTGAAAGTGGCACATGGCAGCAGAGTGTGGCGATGGAGACAGCAGCAATGGGAGGCCGTACAGGGACCCATGAGAGACTCTGGACTTGGCAGCAGCAGCAGAGGAGGCGGTATATATATAGGGGCCCATGGCAGATTAGGGGCCTGGCAGCAGCTATGTGAGGCCCGTAATCTGCCTGCACCCTATGTCAAAAAATTTTAACACACAGCAGTGTGAAGAGACCTGAAAGTGGCACATGGCAGCAGAGTGTGTGGCGATGGAGACAGCAGCAATGGGAGGCCGTACAGGGACCCATGAGAGACTCTGGACTTGGCAGCAGCATGAGGAGAGGAGGCGGGGGTATATAGGGGCCCATGGCAGATTAGGGGCCTGGCAGCAGCTATGTGAGGCCCGTAATCTGCCTGCACCCTATGTCAAAAAATTTAACACACAGCAGTGTGAGTGAAGAGACCTGAAAGTGGCACATGGCAGCAGAGTGTGGCGATGGAGACAGCAGCAATGGGAGGCCGTACAGGGACCCATGACAGACTCTGGACTTGGCAGCAGCATGAGGAGGCGGTATATAGGGGCCCATGGCAGATTAGGGGCCTGGCAGCAGCTATGTGAGGCCCGTAATCTGCAGCACCCTATGTCAAAAAATTTAACACACCAGCAGTGTGAAGAGACCTGAAAGTGGCACATGGCAGCAGAGTGTGGCGATGGGAGACAGCAGCAATGGGAGGCCGTAAGGGACCCATGAGAGACTCTGGACTTGGCAGCAGCATGAGGAGGCGGGTATATATAGGGGCCCATGGCAGATTAGGGGCCTGGCAGCAGCTATGTGAGGCCCGTAATCTGCCTGCACCCTATGTCAAAAAATTTAACACACCAGCAGTGTGAAGAGACCTGAAAGTGGCACATGGCAGCAGAGTGTGTGCGATGGAGACAGCAGCAATGGGAGGCCGTACAGGGACCCATGACAGACTCTGGACTTGGCAGCAGCATGAGGAGGCGGTATATATAGGGGCCCATGGCAGATTAGGGGCCTGGCAGCAGCTATGTGAGGCCCGTAATCTGCCTGCACCCTATGTCAAAAAATTTAACACACAGCAGTGTGTGAAGAGACCTGAAAGTGGCACATGGCAGCAGAGTGTGGCGATGGAGACAGCAGCAATGGGAGGCCGTACAGGGACCCATGAGAGACTCTGGACTTGGCAGCAGCATGAGGAGGCGGTATATAGGGGCCCATGGCAGATTAGGGGCCTGGCAGCAGCTATGTGAGGCCCGTAATCTGCCTGCACCCTATGTCAAAAAATTTAACACACCAGCAGTGTGAAGAGAGACCTGAAAGTGGCACATGGCAGCAGAGTGTGGCGATGGAGACAGCAGCAAATGGGAGGCCGTACAGGGACCCATGACAGACTCTGGACTTGGCAGCAGCATGAGGAGGCGGTGGTATATAGGGGCCCATGGCAGATTAGGGGCCTGGCAGCAGCTATGTGAGGCCCGTAATCTGCCTGCACCCTATGTCAAAAAATTTAAACACACCAGCAGTGTGAAGAGACCTGAAAGTGGCACATGGCAGCAGAGTGTGGCGATGGAGACAGCAGCAATGGGAGGCCGTACAGGGACCCATGAGAGACTCTGGACTTGGCAGCAGCATGAGGAGGCGGTATATAGGGGCCCATGGCAGATTAGGGGCCTGGCAGCAGTGTGAGGCCCGTAATCTGCCTGCACCCTATGTCAAAAAATTTAACACACCAGCAGTGTGAAGAGACCTGAAAGTGGCACATGGCAGCAGAGTGTGGCGATGGAGACAGCAGCAATGGGAGGCCGTACAGGGACCCATGAGAGACTCTGAGACTGGCAGCAGCATGAGGAGGCGGGGTATATAGGGGCCCATGGCAGATTAGGGGCCTGGCAGCAGCTATGTGAGGCCCGTAATCTGCCTGCACCCTATGTCAAAAAATTTAACACACCAGCAGTGTGAAGAGACCTGAAAGTGGCACATGGCAGCAGAGTGTGGCGATGGAGACAGCAGCAATGGGAGGCCGTACAGGGACCCATGAGAGACTCTGGACCTTGGCAGCAGCAGCATGAGGAGGCGGTATATATAGGGGCCCATGGCAGATTAGGGGCCTGGCAGCAGCTATGTGAGGCCCGTAATCTGCCTGCACCCTATGTCAAAAAATTTAACACACCAGCAGTGTGAAGAGACCTGAAAGTGGCACATGGCAGCAGAGTGTGGCGATGGAGACAGCAGCAATGGGAGGCCGTACAGGGACCCATGAGAGACTCTGGACTTGGCAGCAGCATGAGGAGGCGGTATATAGGGGCCATGGCAGATTAGGGGCCTGGCAGCAGCTATGTGAGGCCCGTAATCTGCCTGCACCCTATGTCAAAAAATTTAACACACCAGCAGTGTGAAGAGACCTGAAAGTGGCACATGGCAGCAGAGTGTGGCGATGGAGACAGCAGCAATGGGAGGCCGTACAGGGACCCATGAGAGACTCTGGACTTGGCAGCAGCAGCATGAGGAGGAGGCGGTATATAGGGGCCCATGGCAGATTAGGGGCCTGGCAGCAGCTATGTGAGGCCCGTAATCTGCCTGCACCCTATGTCAAAAAATTTAACACACCAGCAGTGTGAAGAGACCTGAAGTGGCACATGGCAGCAGAGTGTGGCGATGGAGACAGCAGCAATGGGAGGCCGTACAGGGACCCATGAGAGACTCTGGACCTGGCAGCAGCAGGAGGAGGCGGTATATAGGGGCCTATGGCAGATTAGGGGCCTGGCAGCAGCTATAGGAGGCCCGTAATCTGCCAGCACCCTATGTCAAAAAAAATTCAACACACCAGCAGTGTGAGGAGACCTGAAAGTGGCACATGTTTGAGGCATGATTCATGGCGGATTTAGTCAGTTGTGTCAGGAACTGGTGGTTTGAAATCCAGACTAATCCACGCCTGATTCATTTTCACAAACGTGAGTCTCTCCACACTTTGGGTGGACAGTCGTGTCCTCCGCGGAGTTACAATACCTCCTGCCGCACTAAACACGCGCTCCGATGCCACGCTACTGGCCGGGCATGACAGCCTTTCAAGGGCAAATTCAGCTAGTTGGGGCCAAAGGTCAAGTTTCGTTGCCCAGTAGTCAAGGGGATTGTCTACCTCGGTTGGCAGGGTGCTGTCCAAGTAGGCCCAAGCCTGTTGTTTGAGCTCCTGCTCCAGGTCCACCTGATGCTGCTGCTGCTGCTGCGGCTGGTTAGTAGTTTCCTCACTGCGCTGGTGAAGAAAGCTACTCATCATCGACTGCAGACTGAGGCAGCCGCTGCTGGTGGAGCTGCCACTGCTCCTACCACCCCACCCCTCCCCTGCTGCCATGCCAGCGGAACGCGAGCGCACAGGGCCCACAGTGTCTGAGGATGGACGTTGGCGCACAAAGGCAGAGACCAACTGACTACATAGGTGGTTTTTATAGTACGTAATTTTGGCCTCCCTCTCAGCAGGTGTGAAAAAGGCCACCATTTTGGACCGGTAGCGAGGGTCCAACAAGGTGGACAGCCAAAAGTCATCCCTCTGTCTGATGGTTATTATTCGGCTGTCGCTACGCAAGCAACCGAGCATGCTATGGGCCATTTGTGCCAAGGAATGCGAGGGACTCCCTGCCTCCATCTCCACAGCATACTGCCACGGTGCGTCTGGGTCCTCTGTCTCCTCCTCCTCCTCCTCTACCAGATGCTCCTGCTCCTCCACTCCTGTCCGCTGAGTGGAAAAAAAAACCACCCATTTCACTCAATAATTCCTGAGCACAAATGTCCTCCTCTACCTCCTCCTCTTCTTCCTGTCCTGCCCCCACAGGGGTCATGTGGCGTTGAGATCTGTGCGCCACGTCTACCGCACCCTGACCAGCCATTGTTAACAGCATTTGTTCCAGGACGTGCAACAGAGGAATGACGTCGTTCATCCCATAGTCCTGCCGACTCACGAATAGCGTGGCCTCCTCAAAGGGCCTGAGCAAGCGGCAGGTGTCACGCATGAGCTGCCAATGGCTGACATCTAAGTTACACAGGGGAGTACCTTTATCCGCTTGTAACATCAGGAAATCGGTGATGGCCTTTCGCTGCTCGTAAAGGCGGTCTAACATGTGTAGGGTTGAATTCCACCTTGTTGCAACGTCGCAGATCAGGCGATGCTGTGGAATTCCGTTCTGCCGCTGCAGCTCAATGAGGGTGTTCTTTGCGGTGTAGGAATGGCTGAAATGCATGCACAGTTTACGTGACATTTTAAGGATGTCTTGCAGTGGGATGGTGGATTTTAGGAACCGCTTGACAACCAGATTGAACACGTGAGCCATGCATGGCGCATGGCACAACCTTCCTTGACGCAGAGCAGACACCATGTTCTTTCCGTTGTCAGTCAACATGGTTCCGATTTTTAGTTTGCGCGGAGACAGCCATCTGTCGATTTCTCTGTTCATTACACTCAGCAGTTCCTCCCCTGTGTGACTACGTTCGCCAAGGCATACCAGGTGCAGCACAGCGTGACACCGTTGGCCCTGCACATGTGATATGCCGGTCGGGTAATGGGACTTGGCACGGGGGTGGCGGCTGAGGACACGGCGGAAAAAAAAGAGGTGGTAGAGGCGGACATGCTTGCTGGACCAAGGACGTGCAAACGTGGAGGCAAAAGCGTCGTGACCTGTCCAAGTTGCTGGTGCGGCTGTGCCGGCACCACGTTCACCCAGTGGGCCGTAAATGACATGTACTGTCCCTGACCGTAGTTACAGCTCCACACGTCGGCGCTGCCGTGCACTTTGGCAGAGACCGACATGCTCAAAGACTGGCCCACCATCTCTTCTACATGTGAATGCAGGGCTGGCACTGCCTTTTGGGCAAAGAAATGACGGCTTGGCACTCTCCACCGCGGCGCGGCACAAGCCATCATTTCTCGGAAAGGTGCTGAGTCCACCAGTTGGAAAGGGAGGGACTGCAGCACCAGCAACTTGGACAGGAGGACGTTCAGCTTTTGCACCGTCGGGTGCGTGCTCGCAAACTGTTGTCTCTTGGATACGGATTCCAAGAAAGACTGTTGACGGAATCCGAGAAATACATATTCTACCCCCAAACATTCCCACCCCTACCCCAAATAATCATCTAACCCCAACATTCAACCTACCCCAAATAATAATCTCATCCAAAATTATCTACCCCCAATAAACATCTTTACCCCACATAATACTATATCCCTACCCCCCCCCCAAAAGATATATTCTCCTACCCAAAAATCACTACCCCCCATAAAATACTACATCTTCCCCCAAAATTCCCACTAACCCCAACTAAATATATCTACCCACTACCACTACCCCAACTACATCATATACCAACATTCCACTACCCCAAATATAATAACTCAACGTCCAATAAAACACTATCCATACCCCAATATAATATTCTACCCAACATTCACTACCCCAAATAAACTTTACGCTGAAACTTCAACCCCCAATAAAAAATCCTACCCAATTATACACCCACCCCATATATATTATTATAACCAAAACCCATCCACACCCCTTAAAAATACAAAATCTTACAATAAATCCACAAAAAATAATCACATTCCAAACCCCCCAAAAAATCACCCCAAAATATAAAATTA